TCACATATATGTGTATGTATTTGTCTGTTTGTTAGTAGGCAATAGTTTGACATTGATATAATAACGAGCGCTGCTTCATCACATCTTTTATTTATTTAACGATTAGCTGATCCGACCAGGCGTTGCACCGGTCTTATTCTAACTTTTGTTTTTCCTTAAAAAGAACCCCAACCAAAGATAATATAAACAACCTGAACAGTCACCAAATGTAATACTTACTTAAAACAATCGCTGACTTATTCCATAATGAAATTTAAAATTATTTAATACTAGTTCTGTGAGAAAAGCGCTAGGCATTGCCCCAAAAGTTTCATCATTATTTTCTCTTAAAGACTTACCAGGCTCGACAACCTCCAGGACGAAACGTTCATCTTGGTTGGCGTAGGAGATAAAAACGTCATAGTAAAATGTGTTGCCTTTTGTCTCGTGTCGTCTATGGAAGTTCAGCATCGCCGCGTGGTACAGGTACCGCAGGCTCCACCTGAAGCGGAAGATCATGAGACCGACGAGAGCAAACAGCACGAGCAGCGTGGCGGCAACAACAAACAGGAAGAGCTTCTCGTTGGATGCGCACTCTTTGTTCAGCAGCTCCACGGTTTTGTTGTAGCCGTTGGTCAAGTTTGTGTAGATGTTGTTACGTGCGCAGTAGTAGTTATCAAACGACTTAAAAGCAGGGGAATTAATCATCCAGGTTAGGAAATGCAGTTGTATACACGTGCAAAGAATAGGGCAGTTGGACATTTCCACTTGTATCGGCACGTGCTTTTTAATGAGAGAGTCAATATGGTTGGTGACTAGAGCAGGGAGTGTAGACACTGATGTGTGGCTAAGGTTCAATACTCTCAAATTATTCATAAACGTGATGTTTACATTAAAGCTAGAGAGACGATTGTTTGACAAATCTAAAACTTGAAGATTTTCGAGACCGACAAACGCATCTAGACTTAAATTGTATATGTTGTTAAAGGAAAGATCTAAAGTTTTCAGATGTGTAGAGTTGGAAAAAATTAGCTCATCATGGTGTGTGTCAAAAAAATCCCCAAGAATGTTTGCGCCGAGGTTAAGATGCTCCAAATACGGCAAATGAGAGAAAAACGTCCACTCCAGGGAACTAACATAGCTCGAGTGGATACTGAGGGTGGTCAAATGATTGAAGCCGATGAACGGACCCTGCAGCTCAGGCAAAAAGTTTCTGTCCAACACAAGGTCTGTCAGGGAGTTGTTGCTGTCTATCGTCAACCGTGACAGACGGTACTGCAACTCCGCGTTAACCATTTCTATCCGGGACAGTTGTGGTGGGAGGTGGAATACCAACGTGTTGTCATCTCCAACGCTTCTCCTCTTGAGGAGGGAATGAAAATGTTTGATGGATTCTTTATTGTAGGATGTTGGAATATCGTAGAGGTAGTCTTCGCCGTTGATCAGTAAAGTCTGGAGTTTGGTCAGTTTTGGGAGAAATTCAAGGAAAACCCCGAACACGATTCGGTTTTTTCCGATGTCCAGAAGAGTTAAGTTTGGGGGAAGATGGTCGAACGTGTCGTTGTCTATCTTCTCAATGCTGTTCCCCGCGACCTTGAGAGTGGTCAAGGACTTGGGGAGGTTGGTCACGTGACTGGCATTGACTTGAGTTCCGGTGGAGTAGCGCCACTCGATGGTGCTAACGTCCAGCCACCACAGGTTCGTGTTGTTCCTCAGCCCGTGCATGATATGCTGCAGGTGTTTGATTCCAATGTCCTCGTTGTAGTGGATGTCCAGCATCTCCAGGCTCACCAAAGGCGTGAAGGCATCCTTGTCAATGTGCCCCCCACGTAGGTGGCAGTTGCTGAGGTTGAGGACCTTGATGTGTCCCAGGTACTGAAATGTCGTGTTGCTTAAACAAATTATATTACAGTATCCATCCAGATAGCCAGTTACGGTAAAGTTGACCAGTGACGTCATCCTACTGAATCCCACTCCAAACGACGCATTCGTCAGCCCATCTATATAAAGCGCTTTCAAGTTTTTCAAGTCAGATAGCGCTAAATCTGGGTAACTAAAATTGTTCCCTCCTACCGCCGAGTTAAAGTTTTTATTCAACCTCAAGGCCGTGAGGGACACCAAAGGCTTGAAGACACCCACGGGAAACGTGTCAGGGGTCATCGCTAGGGAATTATCGTCCAGTCGGAGAAACGTCAAGTTTTCCAGACCCGAAAACGAGCTTTCATTCAGCTTTGAAATGTTGTTTGAATTCAAATGCAATATTCTAAGTCGTGAGTAATTTTTTAACGAATGAGGAGGTATTTCAGTTAAAGCGTTGTTGTACAGGTCAAGTTTTGTTATGTTAGGCGGTAGGTTTTGAGGGACGGATGTTAGTCGAAGGCCGCTGCAATCACAGCAATTTGTTTCGTTGTAGCACCTACATCCCGAATATATGCTGTAAGTTGAATTCCTTCTGGGATTGCATGATTGTGTTTTTGACAACTCGAGAAGAGATTCTCTTTTGTTGTTGTTATTGAGGTCAGAGGTCACTTGGTTATTGACACCTAAGTCCATTGTTAGTTTGTGACTTGGTGAGGAATTACTTTTCATTTTTGTCAGGACGGCGTCTTTTTCATGACATCGTTAACCGATACAACGTTATTAGATGGGATTGCCATACGATGTATATTGCTATTTTTTGTATTGGTTGACTTGTCATTCAACCAGGAATTTTTAGAATCTGACTTTCCGTTAACACTAACTGAAGACGTCATGTCCGGTGGACGTGAAGTGTATGCTCCCGCTTCATTGGTCAAAAAAACCAAGAGCAAACACGAGATAGTGAATTTTGTTATCATGACTGCGATTGGTCTAATAACTGTGAGCTAGAAGTTTTAGTGAAAACAATTGTACGGTTTTGTTTAAATTATGTGTAAAAATATGGAGAGAGTGAGACAAATTTTAGACAGCACTTTAATTATTAGCTGATGTTAGAATGAGCGTCTGACATATATGGTCTTGTACAGAGTCAGTCTTTATTTACCTAGCTCGGACAAAGCGACTTTTTATACTTAGGTCAGAAAGTATCACACTTTTTAGGCATTCATGAAACACAATACCATTGCTGTTATTGTTATTCAAACGTTGGTTGAAAAAATGATGCTCCATTTACTACATTTGCTTTCAAGTAATGAAATAACCTCCATCTTGCGTTGATGTAAAACTACGTTGAAGTACGTGCTACCTAATCCAGTTCAGCATAAGTTTACAAGCCTAGGGAACCCGCACGCAGACCACACAAACAAAATTTTAAAAACTTTTGACATGGTACGCTTGTGTCTATTAGCCATACACGGATTTTCTTATATAAGAGCCTCTGGTATTTTTGTTTAAGAGCCAAGTTGAAGATAAGGAAAGGCCTGGGGTTAAAGTATCGTCATTGAAATCTATGATTTGGCTTGTTGCTAATCCGCAAGCACGACACACTTCCGCCTTGATAAAAATAATGTTAAACCTTCTAGAATAGCGACAGCATAGAGACTAGTGCATAGGGAGGGGTGTAATTCCATGCCCTTAACAATACAATATGTTACTAACTGTATACCTAGCAGATCCCCTACACACCTCACACCCTCAACCACACACAGAGGCATTGTCACGCCAATGACCTACAGATAAAGCCCACTATGAAACAATGATATGACGTTTCCAATAGGGCTAGTATGTATGTCACCATCTTCTCGTGTTTGTACTTGCCAGCTAGTATTTTCCAAACCAAATGTGAATATTTTTATTAAACGGCAAAAAAAAAAAAAAAAAAAAAAAAAAAAGATTACTTGGTAATGATAGACTTCATTTGATTATATTATTAGTAACATTTTTTTTATAATTTTGGGTATTCTTGTTTTTTTTTTTAATTTTCGAAGCGAGGCTTCGTTGTTTCTTATGAACTGAATACATATTTATTATTTTCTACAAATTCCTTTTATTATTATAATCTTTGATATAAATATGCCAGTGCGATATACTACACCGTGTAACAAAAAGCATCCTTCCGCACCATAAAGGTGCTGTTTTTTTTTTAATTTACCTGAATAATGATGAGATTCTTTAGTTCTGGCAGATGGTGTCGCCTAACTCTCATATTTTGGAGGATAGTGTCTCCAGTTTAACAAATTCTCATATTCTGTACGATTTTGTCTTCAGATTTACATACTCACCGAAGTTAGTGTACACGTTCTTGACCTTCAGCTTTGTCGAAATTTGTCATTTCTTCAAAGACGGAGTTAGTTTGGAATTTAAGATTCAGATAAAGATCCGAAAAGAGCTATAGTTTACATATCTGCAGGTCATATTTCAAAGTAGAAGGGTCAAAATGTTATAAAAGAAAATTAGCAGATTATGCCCCGTTGCAGCTTTTCCTCAACGGGCGGAAACAACTAGTTATTAAGTAGTTTAAAAACCACTAAGGTTGATAAGTTAAACTATAATAGTGATGATGCGGTGAAATTATTTTTAATGTTGTATCTTACAATTCTAATATGTCTACTTCCTGTGGCCGATCTAAGTAGCATGGGTTAAATAACACAGGAAGCCATTTTGTGAATCATTTGTCAATCTCCTACCACAATACAAAAATAAAACATGTATCCAATAATATAACGAAAATTGATGTTGCAACAAATGGGATAGCTCCAGGAACAAGTTACGATTACCATTTTTTTCCGATATAACGTTTTTTTGTTTATGTTTATGAAAAAGATTTGTAGAAAGCATATCGCTTGACTCACACGGAAAAACTGCACTTTTATAGAAAAGCATCAAAGAGTAGATCTTATGAAGATTTGTACCGACTGATTCTAAATATATATTTTAAAAATCATATCTCTCATCGATGGAAGATATATAGAAATGTTTTTAAGAAGCAATAAAACTAATGGGCTCTCGTTCTTTTTTAAATTAAAAAATAAAATAATTTATAGCCAACAATAATAAAAATAATAATTTGCAACCAATTTGTAAGAAAAAAATACACCTTATACAGTTACAGCATTTATTACAATTTGTTTTCTTAAGGGGAAAAAGAATTTTCTATAGTGAAAAATTCTTTTCCTGATTAATACAAGACACCATGCCGTAATAAGAAATCACACAACGGTCAAGCGGCTGTCAAAAAGTTGTCAAAGCTTAAAAAAAACACTTTGTTTTCCTTTATAACATCGATTTTGATTTAAACTCCAAACAGTTTAATTGTTTTTGTTATCACTGGTTTAATGGGCATCGCATGTGGTAAAACGATACGCCTGATTAGTAATCCAATATTTTTCTTTGAAGGACCCGTTTATACGGTTGATGAAGCAATATGCCCAAGGCTATAAATGATATCCAGTTACATTGTTGTGTGAACCTTGCAAGGATGGCTGTCGGCACACGAAAATAATGACTGCTAGAGGTCAAGGGTATTTGCCATTCAAGTACTGTGGTGTAGCGGATCCTGGAAGGCCAGCAATAGGACATCATGAATGTCCTCCAAACTATCAGCCAGCGTATTAGTTCCATGAGACGATCTAGACCTGAATGTCCTTTATGAGACGATCTAGACCTGAATGTCCTCCATGAGACGATCTAGACCTGAATGTCCTCGCTGAGGTCCTACAGCTAGCGCAGGTCCTGTGCCAGTTTGTCCCACATGGCCTTCATCTCCCGCTCCGAGAGTTGCTCCCCCTGCGGGTAGGGGATGTAAGTGTTGCAGCGGAGGAAGGACATGAGCTCGCCCAGGTTCTTGGCCGCCATGTTCTCTTTGACCAGGAAAATCAGCACCGGACGTCCGTCGTGGACCGACTCCATGTTAGCCATCTGAAATAGAAAGGTCAAGGTCATACTACGGTCAACGCAACCGTCACGGTCAAGGCAATGCCGCCATATAAAGGCTTACTTCAATGTTTAAATGACAACAAGTAAAAGGATTCATTAATACTATTGACCTATCGTACTAAGGTCTAGAAAACTAAAACTTTTCCCGACCTGTTATCGACTAATGATGTGGGCTTGGTGGTTAAATTGTTAAAAGATCAAACAAAACACGCGGTTACACCTTTTTTTTTTACTTTTATTTCGCTTTCATTTATAATTTCAAAATTATACATTTTTAGTGAGAAATACACTGTTTATTGTGATTGCAATACTAATAAAAACTGGGTTAGTACGCCTTAAACTAAGATAAAAGAATAAACCAATTTACACGTAATTAACACTTCTGTCTTTTTGAAGGAAAAAAAAAACCTTTAGTAAGTTTGACTATGTGACTACGCCGTCCCATTAACCTAGTGTCACACAAAAGTGAAACTTTGCACAAGTTTTAAGCATTACACTACTTTTCAAGTTTTGTGTTTTCATTTTACTGCAATACTTAGAAAATATTAAAGTTTATGTAAAACCGTCTACTTATTTTTTAGGTATATTTTCTTATATAAAAATACATAAAAAAGTTAAAAAATAAATATCAAAGTGAATATCGTAAATGCGATTTTGTTTTGAATATTGAGCGAACAAAGATACATAGTTTTAAAAAAATGTTTTCAATTTAAACATTTCATGGCTTTCGTGGCAGCTAGAGCTACAAAATGTGATTGTATACTGTCACAGACTGTATAATTAGATATGTTTATATTATTGTGTTTTACATGAAGTTGCATGAATGAAGAGTACCTGGCTAGCGGAAGGACTGTTTGAGCGATCGTCATGTGTTTTTCCATGTTTTTGGGTGAGATCGCTCATGTACGTAAGGGGAGAGAAAGTAGTGAATAAAAGGGAGAGCAAAAAGGTGAACGGGTGTTGTGTGCTAGAACTTGAACCTGAGGACTGTGGCTGTGAATGTAGGATGTTACTACGACACTTTGTTTCTTGACTGTGATTGTACTTATACCACTTGTGACCATGGATTTACTATGGATCTATTAATTCTCTGTACAAAGTGTAAATAAAGTTATTGTTTCACAACTACTGTTGCTCGTGTGAGTATATTGAAGAACCCACAATAACAACAAAGAATTCATGTTGTTACATATGGTGTCAGAAGTGGAGGCAATAAAGTGATGTTGCTACATTGTATTACTGTTACTTATGATGTCACAAGTGGTATAAGTACAATCACAGTCAAGAAACAAAGTGTCGTAGTAACATCCTACATTCACATGGCAAGGCTACAAAAAGAGGATGAAGTCACAAAAAAACTGATGAATAACATCAATAAACGACAAGGAAAGTACAGAGGCCACTGCTATGAAATAAAAAATGATATACTGGTTAGAATATTTCAGAATAACAGCATTAAAAGGACACAAATAGTCATTCCAGAGACACTGAAAGGTCTAGTCTTGGAGACAGCACATGATAGTCCTTTGGCTGGGCACATGGGAGTCAGGAAAACTATAAATAGAATCCTTGACAACTCGTTCTGGCCGGGAATCCATCAGGATGTGAAAAGATACATTGGTAAATGCAAGCAATGTATAACTAAAAATCATCTACACAGCAAACATATTGCTCCTATACAGCCAACTGATAAAATAGGAAGGGTGTTTGAGAAAGTGGCTATAGACATAGTAGGACCTCTACCAATTGCATCAAAAAAAGGTCACAGATTTATTCTAACTTTAATAGACATGGCGTCCAGATGGCCAGAAGCTATACCCCTAAGGGATATAAAATCCGAAACTATATGTTCTGCATTATTAGACATTTTTTCAAGATATGGTTTTCCTGAAACTCTGCTGTCAGACAACGGCAAACAATTTACCTCTAATGTGACTAATGCATTAACAAAGCTGCTGAAGATCACTCAGGTACACTCGACCATCTACAGACCGCAAGCAAACGGTATGTGTGAACGGTGGAATAAAACACTCAAGGTAATGCTAGCAAAAGCTACAGAAGATCATCCTAAGGAGTGGAATGAGTATATTCCGGCGATACTGTTCGCCTATAGAGGAACAGTGCATGACGCGACGGGGTACTCGCCATTTGAATTAATGTTTGGATCAAATCCAAGAGGGCCGCTTTCGTTGCTAAATGATAGATTACTTGGCACTCAAATCACTGAACAAGATGCTTTTGAGTTCATTACTGAAAAGAAAAGCAAAATGGTATATGGATTACAATCTGCTCAACAAAATGCGGAGGGAGAGGCAAGTAGACAGAGAAAATTGAAAAACAAAAATAGATACCTCAGGCAATTGAAGGAGACAGACAATGTCTATGTTTGGCTACCTACCTGGAAAGGGGTCAAATTATGGCAGGGACCATTTGTGATTAAAAAGAAAGTGAACGAAGTAGATTATGCTGTGGACATCAAAGGCACAATAAAGATAGTACATGTTGATCTACTGAGGAAATACGATAACATGCCTGAGCAGATAACTCAGGTGATGGAGGACATTAATACACATGACACTGACATAAATGAGGAAGTTGGTCGTGATGAAGAACTGCCAAAACGTCAAATAGAAGAACAATCTAGCGTAGTAATTATAGAGGAACAACCTACCTTAGCGAACATAATTCAAACAGAAGAAGAAATCCAGCAAATTACTCCGCTGAAGTACAGAAAAGAACTACAGCAGTTATTGAACGAATTCAAAGATGTCATTACTGAAGATACTGGCTACACAAGAACGATTACTCATGTCATAGAATTAAACAAGGATGCTAATTTAAAAAAGAAACAATATGCAGTACCTTATGCATACAGAGAAGCAGTGAAGAAAGAATTAAATCATTTGATCGAAACTAACAAAATACAACGCTCAAATTCATCTGTAGCTTCACCAATGGTGATAGTAAAAAAGAAGAATGGAAAAGTAAGAATTTGCTGTGACTATAGAGATTTGAATAAAATCACGAAAATAGACGCAGAACCACTGAGAGATACTAATGAACTATTGGAAGAGATAGGGAACTCAACAATTTTCACTCATCTGGACTTAAACCGAGGTTTTTGGCAAATAGGTATGGATGAGGAATCCAAACACTACACAGCGTTTACAACTGATGAAGGATTATTTGAGTGGAATGTTATGCCTTTTGGCCTAGTAAATTCAACAGCAACATTCTCCAGATTTTATGAGAATAATGCTGGCAGATATAAAGAATGTAGTACATTTTGTTGATGACATATGTATTCATTCTAAGGATATCAAGACACATATGCAGTCAGTTAGAGAGGTACTAACAAAATTAAGGGAGCATGGCGCGACTATTGCACCTGAAAAGTTAAAATTTGCAAATGAAGAAATGGATTTTTTGGGATTCAAAGTAGGCAAAAATCAAATTAGACCTACTGACGGAAATAAAAATAAAATTCTCAACTTAGAAATACCTAAAACCAAGAAAGAAGTCAAAGGTGTATTGGGTCTATTTAATTTCTACAGCAAATTCATACCCAAGTACTCAGATATAACTCTACCTCTAAGACAGCTAATTACCAAGGACAGCAGTAGAACAATAAATTGGTCTAAAGAATGTCAGGATGCTTTACAGCTAATAAAGCAGTACTTTGAACATGAAGTAACGCTTACTGCCCCTAACTTTGAGAAGACACTAACACTGGTAACGGATGCTTCAAATTATGGATTGGGTGCATGTTTAATGCAAGAAGTGGACAAGGTACTACGGCCTATATTTTATCTGAGTATAAATACTGTTAACAAATAAATCTGTTACATTATCATTATCTCGCATAATAAAGAAAAACATTTTTCGTGTGGTGTCACCCCTTAGAGCTAGACAATGTGCCAGGCTTGTCTTAAATCAGACACAGATTTCAGTTGTTTTTAAATTAACGCCTAAATTAAATCCAACAGTTCATTTTATTTTTAAAAATATCGCATTTAGTTAAGAATAGATTGTTTTTTACTGGCAAAACCAAAACTAAACGTTATTTTTTGCTTATAAAGAAAAGGTTTTAATCGTTTAGTTCTAGATTAGAACTGGAATTACTGTTAGGATATTTTTTAAAAGCACTTGAAAGCACAATAATAATTCCACCTACCTGGACCTCGTATTTACACCAGTGACTCTTGCAGAAGTTCCCGGTCAGGATGACCAAGGTCCTACGGCACATGCTGACGGCGCTCACGATGTTGGAGGCGATAAAGTTTCCCGCCACAAAGTTGCGCCCGTGGATGTGAACTTTGACCCCTCTTTTGACTAGCTCTGTGGAAGTTATTTATCTTTGGAATTTCGCCATATTTTTGTGTGCGACATTTACTATAATTTTAAAATTTATTCATTCCCTAAAGTGTAACGAAATAGATAGTCATTATAGCCTGAATTAATTCATTATGTTTTCACATTTTATTAACTTTATAACTGATTTAAATCGTTCTTTTAAATAGACAAATTCTTTTTAACTTATTTTTTAAATTGACGAACGGATGGACGGGAGTGGTATGGTGTAGAGGTGGAGTGGTATGGTGTAGAGGTGGAGTGGTATGGGATGAGATGCTTTGGTGACCGTGGTGTTAGCTGTATATATATATATATATATATATATATATATATATATATATATATATATATATATATATATATATATATATATAATAAATAAAGCTCAATTCTGTATGTAGAAATAAGTTTGTTTGTCGTTGACATACTTTGATGGATTTAAGTGTTAGACTATTATCCTGCTCATAGTCTAAATTTATGAGTTAAAAAATTATTATTTAAAGTGTTGGGAAATAATTTTCATTTTTCAAACTGATAGTAATAATTGTCGGCATGTTCATTGAACACAATTTTAAAAAAATAACAAAAATTCTAATTATGTCTGAAAATTATTTATATTTAGTCCTTTAGCACTTACTTCCCTTTGATAAATTAGGAAAACACAATTACTTCCCTTTATTAAACATTGCATTAGTGGAAAAGAATTTACTTTTTATTACTTTGTTTTGGTGTTGGGAAAAAAAATATTTACATAATTAGCGGGGATTGATCAGGTGCAAATGTTGTAGGTATTTTACGAATACGCTTGGAGTATTATAATTGTTCATTTGGTTTGGTTTGGCACCTACGTTCGTTTAAGTGAGTGCAAAAGACTATGAATAAGTTGGAATACTGTAGTCGATTATTAAGCTGAAACAGGCGATTCTGCCCCGGGCTAGACTGTGAGCACTTTGCGTTTATGTTCGCGTTAGTGTTTTCTTTGTGTTTAGGTTGGTTTTGCGTTAGTGGTTGCGTTTTGATTTGGTTCGTTTTTGTTCTTTCTTTTTTCGTTTTCGTTTGTGTTTTTTTTCTTTGGGTTTGTGTTTGTATTTGTGTTTGTGGTTGGTTTTGCGTTTGGATTTGGTTTGTTTTCGTTTGCTTTTTTGTTTGTTTTTTCTTTGTGTTCGTATTGGTGTTTGTGGTTGTGGTTGGGTTTGTTGTAAGGTTTTTGTTTTCGTTTGCTTTTTTGTTTGTTTTTTCTTTGTGTTTGTATTGGTGTTTGTGATTGTGGTTGGGTTTGTTGTTAGGTTTTTGTTTTCGTTTGTATTTGTAATTGTGTTAGCGTTATGTTTGCGTTTTGTTGTTTAGGTTTTGGTTGGTTGTGGTTTGGGTGGGCAATGCCGGGTTTATGATGATTACTAAACACACAGGTAATAATCTTTAACAGAAAGGTTTTTCACAGAAGCCAGAGCAGGGCCTGGCCGGGACGGCTAGTGTTTATATATAAATCACCGAATCTGCAATAATATAGTTTTTTAAAAACAATTAGATGTGTAGGGTAAACTGTTAGTATTAGTATGAAATTATAAATCAGATACATTAAATATGACAATATGTGCAATTTTGTTTTGCGTTCACTTGGTGTGCAGTTCTTTTTTTTACGAGATTCTGTTCTATTTTAAAAAGTTTAAGTAATTAAAAATGGATTAAAAATCATGTCTATATCCCGAGTTGCCATCCCCTGTTGTTTTATATAAGAATATTTGAGAAAGTTTAGGGTAGATCATTCCAGGTTTTTTTTTTTTTTTTTTGTTAATCTTTTGGAATACTAAACAACTGATCCGGCCAGGTAATGCCCTGGCTAAATATAAATCATGTATAATGTGTAAAAATAATGCTAATTCAATATTAATGGAAGTATTGGGGACGTCTTTCAAGTAAGTAGATTTAAAATGTATTTTTACTGTAATATTCACCTTAACTCAAAGAGTAAGTCATTTAATTTCTTGATTATTAATTTTAAAGAAAAAAAATTGCGTGTATAAACTTCCAACATTTTTTTATGCTGACCAAATAAAAAGGAAACCATAAGTAACTAATGACCCAGCTCGACTTTTTTTTTTTAAATCAAAGAACAACCAACACAAAGGTAATTGGGTTAAACCGAAATAGCCATAAAATTAGTAATCGGCAAATAGACAACCTTATTATCACGGAAACTTCAACACCCTAATATGTATATTACCAAAAGATACATTATCTTCTCCTTAAGACTTACCAGGCTCGACAACCTCAAGGACGAAAAGTTCATCCGGGTTGGCGTAGGAGATAAAAACGTCATAGTCAAATTTGTTGCCTTTTGTCTCGTGTCGTCTATGGAAGTTCAGCATCGCCGCGTGGTACAGGTACCGCAGGCTCCACCTGAAGCGGAAGATCATGAGACCGACGAGAGCAAACAGCACGAGCAGCGTGGCGGCAACAACAAACAGGAAGAGCTTCTCGTTGGATGCGCATTCTTTGTTCAGCAGCTCCACGGTTTTGTTGTAGCCGTTGGTCAAGCGTACGTACACGTCGTCGTGAGCACAGATATAACTCTTGAACGACTTAAATGCTGGAGACTTGACCATCCAGGTTAGGAATTTCAAGTTTTGACACGTGCAAAGAATAGGGCAGTTGTTAAGCTCCACCTCAACCGGTATCTGGTGGTCAATCAGCCAATCAATGCTTTCCATCACGTCATCAGGAAGTGACGAGATCGAATTGTGACTCAGATTTAACAGTCTCAAGTTTTTCATCCCACTGATATTTACATTAAATTCCGAAAGACGATTGTTTGACAGATCTAGAATAGTAAGATTGTTGAGACCGATAAATAAACCATAACTTAAATTTTGAATGTTGTTAATAGAAAGATCTAACTTTTTTAGATTTGTCAAATTAGCGAAAACAGGATCGTCAAGAGTGTTTAAAAAATCCCCAAGTAGGTTTGTGCCGAGGTTAAGATTCTCCAAACGCGGGAAATTGGAGAAAAACGTCCACTCCAGGGAACTAACATAGCTCGAATAGATACTGAGGGTGGTCAAATGATTGAAGCCGATGAACGGACCTTGCAGCTCAGGCAAAAAGTTTCTGTCCAACACAAGGTCTGTCAGGGAGTTGTTGCTGACTATCGTCAGCCGTGACAGACGGTACTGCAACTCAGCGTTAACCATTTCTATCCGGGACAGTTGTGGTGGGAGGTGGAATACTAGAGCGTTGTCATCTCCAACGCTTCTCCTCTTGAGGAGGGAATGAAAATGTTTGATGGATTCTTTATTGTAGGATGTTGGAATATCGTAGAGGTAGTCTTCGCCGTTGATCAGTAAAGTCTGAAGATTGGTCAGTTTTGGGAGAAATTCAAGGAAAACCCCGAACACGATTCGGTTTTTTCCGATGTCCAGAAGAGTTAAGTTTGGGGGGAGATGGTCGAACGTATCGTTGTCTATCTTCTCAATGCTGTTCCCCGCGACCTTGAGAGTGGTCAAAGACTTGGGGAGGTTGACCACGTGACTGGCATTGACTTGAGTTCCGGTGGAGTAGCGCCACTCGATGGTGCTAACGTCCAGCCACCACAGGTTCGTGGTTGTTCCTCAGCCCGTGCATGATATGCTGCAGGTGTTTGATTCCAATGTCCTCGTTGTAGTGGATGTCCAACATCTCCAGGCTCACCAAAGGCGTAAAGGCATCCTTGTCAATGTGCCCCCCACGTAGGTGGGCAGTTGCTGAGGTTGAGGACCTTGATGTGTCCCAGTACTGAAATGTCGTGTTGCTTAAACAAATTATATTACAGTATCCATCCAGATAGCCCAGTTACGGTAAAGTTGACCAGTGACGTCATCCTACTGAATCCCACTCCAAACGACGCATTCGTCAGCCCATCTATATAAAGCGCTTTCAAGTTTTTCAAGTCAGATAGCGCTAAATCTGGGTAACTAAAATTGTTCCCTCCCTACCGCCGAGTTAAAGTTTTTATTCAACCTCAAGGCCGTGAGGGACACCAAAGGCTTGAAGACACCCACGGGAAACGTGTCAGGGGTCATCGCTAGGGAATTATCGTCCAGTTCGGAGAAACGTCAAGTTTTCCAGACCCGAAAACGAGCTTTCATTCAGCTTTGAAATGTTGTTTGAATTCAAATGCAATATTCTAAGTCGTGAGTAATTTTTTAACGAATGAGGAGGTATTTCAGTTAAAGCGTTGTTGTACAGGTCAAGTTTTGTTATGTTAGGCGGTAGGTTTTGAGGGGACGGATGTTAGTCGAAGGCCGCTGCAATCACAGCAATTTGCTTTCGTTGTAGCACCTACATCCTCGAATATATACAGTAGGTAGAATTCCTTCTGGGATTGCATGATTGTGTTTTTGACAACTCGAGAAGAGATTCTCTTTTGTTGCTGTTATTGAGGTCAGAGGTCACTTGGTTATTGACACCTAAGTCCATTGTTAGTTTGTGACTGGGTGAGGAATTACTTTTCTTTTTTGTCAGGACGGCGTCTTGTTTTATGACATCGTTAACCGATACATAGTTATTAGATGGGATTGCCATACGATGTACATTGTTTTTTTTTGTTTTGGTTGACTTCTCATTTAAACCAGGAATCTTTAGAATCAGACTTTCCGTTAACAGTAACTGAAGACGTCATGTCCGGTGGACGTGAAGTGTATGCTCCCGCTTCATTGGTCAAAAAAAACCAGGAGCAAACACGAGATAGTGAATTTTGTTATCATGACTGCGATTGGTCTAATAACTGGGAGCTAGAAGTTTTAGTGAAAACAATTGTATGGTTTTGTTTAAATTATGTGTAAGTTATGGAGAGAGTGAGACAAATTTTAGACAGCACTTTAATTATTAGGCTGATGTTTATTTTTTTTTTTTTTAAAATAAGCGTCTGACATATATGGTCTTGTACAGAGTCAGTCTTTATTTACCTAGCTCAGACAAAGCGACATTTTATACTTAGGTCAGAAAGTAGCACACGTTTTAGGATTTATTGTTGTTCAACCGTTGGTTTAAAAAATGATGCTCCATTGACTACATTTGCTTTCAAGTAATGAAATAACCTCCATCTTACGTTGATGTAAAACTACGTTGAAGTACGTGCTACCTAATCCAGTTCAGCATAAGTTTACAAGCCTAGGGAACCCGCACGCAGACCACACAAACAAAATTTTAAAAACTTTTGACATGGTACGCTCGTGTCTATTAGCCATACACGGATTTTCTTATATGAGAGCCTCGGGTATTTTTGTTTAAGAGCCAAGTTGAAGATAAGGAAATTCCTGGGGTTAAAGTATCGTCATTGAAATCTAGGATTTGGCTTGTTGCTAATCCGCAAGAACGACACACTTCCGCCTTGATAAAAATAAAGTTAAACCTTCTAGAACAGCGTCAGCTTATAGACTAGTGCATAGGGAGGGGTGTAATTCCATGCCCTTAACAATAAAATATGTTACTAACCTAGCAGATCCCCTACACACCTCACACCGTCAACCACACACAGATGCAATGTCACGCCAAGTACCTACAGATAAAGCCCATTATAAAACAATGATATGACGTTTCCAATAGGGCTAGTATGTATGTCAACATCTTCTCGTGTTTTTACTTGCCAGCTAGTATTTTCCAAACCAAATGTGAATATTTTTATTGAACGGCAAAAAAAGATTACTTCCGCTATTGTTAATTCAAGACAAATATATGCTATGTAAAATTGTAATTTTTTAAAGCGTACATTTGGTTAGTTTTTGTTCAAATGAGTAACTATTTGTCCTAAGCGAAGTTACGATAAACTTGGTCTACCGGTACTTAATTTGATTATATTATTAGTAAACATTTTTATAACTGTTGCATTTTGGGTACTCTTTTTTATTTAAAATATCGAAGCGAGGCTTCGTTGTTTCTTATTAACTGAATACATATTTATTATTTTCTACATATTCCTTTTATTATAATAATCTTTGATATAAATATGCCAGTGTGATATACTACACAGTGTAACAAAAAACATCCTCCCGCATTATAAAGGTGTGGTTTTTTTTTTAACTTACCCGAATAATGGTGTGATTCTTTTGCTCTGGCAGATGGTGTCTCCTAACTCTCATATTTTGGAGGATAGTGTGTCCAGTTTAACAAATTCTCATATTCTTACGATTTTGTCTTCAGATTTACATACTCACCGAAGTTAGTGTACAAGTTCTTGACCTTCAGCTTTGTCAAAATTTGTCATTTCTTCAAATACTGAGTTAGTTTGGAATTTAAGATTCAGATAAAGACCCGAATAGAGCTATGGTTTACATATCTGCAGGCCATATTTCAAAATAGAAGGGTCAAAATGTTATAAAAGAAAATTAGCAGAATAGGCCCCGTTGCAACTTTTCCTCAACGGGTGCAAACAACTAGTTATTAAGTAGTTTAAAAACCATTAAGGTTGATAAGTTAAACTATAATAGTGATGATGCGGGGAAATTATTTTTAATGTTATAGCTTACAATTCTAATATGTCTACCTCATGTGGCCGATCTAAGTAGCATGGGTTAAATAACACAGAAAGCCATTTTGTGAATCAATCTCCTCCCACAATACAAAAATAAAACATGTATCCATTGATATAACGAAAAAAGATGTTGCAAACAAATGAGGTAGTGATAGCTCCAGGGACAAGTTACGATTACCTTTTTTTCCGATAAATCGTTCTTTTGTTTTTGTTTATGAAAAAGATTTGTAGAAAGCATACCGTTTGACTCTCACGGAAAAACTGCACGTTTAGAGAAAAGCATCAAAGAGTGGATCTTAGGAAGATGTGTACCGACTGATTCTAAATATATATTTAAAAAAATCATATCTCTCATTGATGGAAGATATATAGAAATGTTTTTAAGAAGCAATAAAACTAATGGGCTCTCGTTCTTTTTTAAATTAAAAAATAAAATGATTTATAACCAACAATAATAAAAATAATAATTTGCAACCAATAAGTAAGAAAAAAATACATATACAGTTACAGCATTTATTACAATATGTTTTCTTAAGGGGAAAAAGAATTTTCTATATTGAAAAATTCCTTTTCCTGATTAATACAAGACACCATGCCGTAATAAGAAATCACACAACGGTCAAGCGGCTGTCAAAAGGTTGTCAAAGCTTAGAAAAAAACTTTATTTTCCTTGACAACATCAATTTTGATTTTAACTCCAAACAGTTTAATTGTTTTTGTTATCACTGGTTTAATGGGTATCGCATGTGGTAAAACGATACACCTGATTAGTAATCCGATATTTTTTCTCTGAAGGACCCGTTTATACTGTTGATGAAGCAATATGCCCGAGGCTATAAATGATATCCAGTTACATTGTTGTGTGAACCTTGCAAGAATGGCTGTCGGCACACGAAAAAATTACAGCTAGAGGTCAAAGGTATTTGCCATTCAAGTACGGTGGTGTAACGGATCCTGGAAGGCCAGCAATAGGACATCATGAATGTCCTCCAAACTATGAGCCAGCGTATTAGCTCCATGAGACGATCTAGACCTGAATGTCCTCCATGAGACGATCTAGACCTGAATGTCCTCCATGAGACGATCTAGACCTGAATGCTCCAAACTATCAGCCAGCGTATCAGTTCCATGAGACAATATAGATATAAATGTCCTCGCTGAGGTCCGACAGCTAGCGTAGGTCCTGTGCCAGTTTGTCCCACATGGCCTTCATCTCCCGCTCCGAGAGTTGCTCCCCCTGCGGGTAGGGGACGTAAGTGTTGCAGCGGAGGAAGGACATGAGCTCACCCAGGTTCTTGGCCGCCATGTTCTCTTTGACCAGGAAAATCAGCACCGGACGTCCGTCGTGGACCGACTCCATGTTAGCCATCTGAAACAGAAAGGTCAAGGTCATACTACGGTCAAGGCAACCACCACGGTCAAGGCAATGCCGCTATATATAGGCTTACTTAAATGTTTAAATGATTACTAAAGGAAAATGATTCATTAATTCTACTGACCAATCGTACTAAGGTACAGATAACTAACCTTTTCGCGATCTGTTATCAACTAATGATGTGGGCTAGGTGGTTAAATTGTTACAAGATAAAACAAAACACACGGTTAAACTTTTTTGTTAAACTTTTATTTCGCTTTCATGTATAATTTTAAAATTATCGGCCTACAAATTTTTTATTGAGAAATACACTGTTTATTAGGATTGCAATACTAATAAAAAACTGGGTTAGTACGCCTTAAACTAAGATAAAAGAATAAACCAATTTGCACTTCTATCTTTTTACTATGTGACCACGTCGTCCCATTCAGTAGCGTAGCCAGGATCGTCTCATGGGGGGGGGGGGGGGGGGGGGGTTCAAATTTTTACCCGGGGACGACCTTTCGATTTGCAACCCCCCTTCATATATATATATATATATATATATATATATATATATATATATATATATATATATATATATATATATATATATATACCGAGGGGTCTATGGGGGGGGGTATAATACGCCACTGGTCCCATTAACCTAGTGTCACACAAAAGTGAAACTTGGCATAAGTTTTAAGCATTACACTACTTTTCAAGTTTTGTGTTTTCATTTTACTGCAATACTTAGAAAATATTAAAGTTTATGTAAAACCGTCTACTTATTTTTTGTTGTTGTATATTTTCTTATTTAAAATTTCCTTTTAAAAGCTAGAAAATAAATGGCTAAGTGAATATCTTAACTGAGATTTTGTTTTGAATATTGAGCGAGCAAAGATAGAGAGTTTTGAAAATGTGTTCAATTTAAACATTTCATGGCTTTCGGGGCAGCTAGAGCTACAAAATGTGATTTTATACATTTTTTGGTTTAGAGTACAAATACTGTGAACAATTAAATCTGTTACATTATCATTAACTCGCATAATAAAGAAAAACATTTTTCATGTGGTGTCACCCCTTAGAGCTGAACAATGTGCCAGGCTTGTCTTGAATCTGATACGGATTTCAGTTGTTTTTTTTTAAACGCCTAAATTAAATCCAACAGTTCATTTTATTTTTAAAAATAACGCATTTTGTAAAGAATAGATTGTTTTTTACTGGCAAACAAAAACTAAACGTTATTATTTGCTTCTAAAGAAAAGGTTTTAATCGTTTAGTTCTCTATTAGAACTTTAATTACTGTTTAGATATTTTTAAAAGCACTTGCAAGCACAATAATAATTCCACCTACCTGGACCTCGTATTTACACCAGTGACCCTTGCAGAAGTTCCCGGTCAGGATGACCAAGGTCCTACGGCACATGCTGACGGCGCTCACGATGTTGGAGGCGATAAAGTTTCCCGCCACAAAGTTGCGCCCGTGGATGTGAACTTTGACCCCTCTTTTGACTAGCTCTGTGGAAGTTATTTATCTTTGGAATTTCGACATATTTTTGTGTGCGACATTTACTATAATTATACAATTTATTCATTCCCTAAAATGTAACGAAATAGATAGTCATTATAGCCTGAATTAATTCATTATGTTTTCACATTTTATTAACTTTATAACTGATTTAAATCGTTCTTTTAAATAGACAAATTCTTTTTAACTTATTTTTTAAATTGACGAACGGATGGACGGGAGTGGTATGGTGTAGAGGTGGAGTGGTATGGTGTAGAGGTGGAGTGGTATGGGATGAGATGCTTTGCTGACCGTGGTGTTAGCTGTATATATATATATATATATATATATATATATATATATATATATATATATATATATATATATATATATATATATATATATATATATATATATGTAACGAGACTATTTGCCTGTAGTGCCAAATGTTAACGAGTTCTGCTCGACAACGCCAAATGTTACCGAGTCTAACCACTCATTCTACACAACATCGACCACAGTATAGATACTCGAAGATGCAGGTTCGCTATTGATCCTTTTATTACATGAATCAAAGAAATGCTTCACAATAATATAATGAATCAAAAGGAATGCTTCACAATAATAGTCTGAATCAACTGACCCCCAACAGTCCTCACTAGTCTTCACATAACTGAATGCACATGTCTATCGTCCTTCTTAACACAATACGGCTAACCCGTTCAATAACCAACTTGATACTGCCTCACTGACTGACTGATCGAGAGAGAGAGAGAGCGAGCTCAGCCGTCGCCTTCCTATATATCCCCTTCGTATTCGTAATCGTATTCGGTTCTATCATAATCGTAATCGTAATCGATTCTAATCGTTGCATCAGAATGTTAATTACGCCGCTTCTGTCGTACAGTCCGATTTAATAAGCCATCTGCATCCTGTCACATCAAAGTTGACAGACCGTATTGCGTTCTTATCGTATCGCTTCCCAAGATACTACGCCTTGGCTTTCTGATCGTTATCAGCCAACACCTGCGTTATTACATCAGTCGTGTCAAAGTTGACAGCGCTGTACTGCGTTCTTATTCTCTGGTAACTTCCCCTAGTTACATCCACCCCTGCCTTTTTTTGTGTGTTATCAACCACAAACAACGCTTGGCAGGTGCAGTCCTTCAAAGTCAATCGCACCACCGTAAAAAAAAATGTATTGTTCCACTCACTGTCAATGTCGTCACATTCGTATAAGATTGACAGTTATCCCTATTTCACATATCAAATGTGTCTACATCATCTTCCTCAGACACAAAACAGTTCTAGAATTCACATCCACCCTTTTTCGTTTGGTGCCTTCACCAGTTCACTTTTATGACTTTTTTGAACAGTCTGTTCTCATACCAGCGCGACCATGAAAGAATTGATGGTTGCTGACAAAAAATTTCGTATTCTTTCTGTTTCTCAAACTTCTCCGCGGACCACTTATCTGCTGTTCTACTGTGTCTCTGCTTCTGGGAGGACCGGGATCCTCCTTGTTGCCGGTATCCTCCCCTTGTGTATCGCTGTTGCGCTGTTGATGGTGACATGGTTCCGGGATGGGTATGTGAATTTCCGTTATAGTTTCCGGTTCCCTAATTGTCTTAGGTTTCCTTGTGTGTAACTGCTCTTCTTGACTATGACAATATTTCTTTAATTGAGCAATATTCGCCCACCGATCCGGTTTGGCGTGATCGATGGGTCTTATCTTAAAGGGGCCACCTGCTACTTTAGGCATCTCCACGACTTGCCATATCTCCTGTCCCCAGAGGTCGTGGATTTTGTTTCTGCCTAACGGGTGGCTACGCAGTAATACCCTGTCGTTCAGTTTGAGTGGCGGGTCCTTTGTCTGTACCGGCGGTTCCCTTCGCCGTGCTTCATGTTCTAGTCTTTCCTGTACTACCCTGTACATTTCTCTAATTCGTCTCATATGTTCATTCACATATTCCAGTGCAGTGTATGAGCCAGTCATACTCTCCTTTTTTCCTAGGAACAAGTCAAGAGGGAGTCGAGCCTCCCGTCCGAACAGCAACATGTGTGGCGAAAAGCCGGTTGTGGCATGGGGGGTGCAGTTGTATAGATATACCAACTCTGGGAGAAAATCAGGCCAACGTTTTTTCTGTTCAGGTTCTAGAGTACGCAGCAAATCATGCATGCTGCGGTTGAACCGCTCGCACTGTCCGTTTCCTTTCGGATTAAATGTGGTTGTTCTAGATTTGTTGATCCCGTAGTGGCTGCACAGTTGGTTAATTACTTCTGACTCAAAGGCCCTTCCTTGGTCAGAGTGTAATTGTCTTGGTATGCCATATTTGATGAACCAATGTTCTATTAGGACCTTTGCCACTGTTTTGGCAGTCTGATCTCGTGTGGGCACCGCCACAGTCCATTTGGTGAATACATCAGTCATTACCAACACATGTTCCGTCCCATCCGATGATTGCTCCAACGACGTAAAGTCCATAGCCACAATCTCTAGTGGTTTTGTCGCTAGTAGGTGTCCTGATGGCTGTCTCATTTTGACAACTGGCATTTTCGCATGCTGACACCTCACACAAGCCTCACAATGGCGTTTGACCTCCATCTCCATATTGGGCCAGTAACACCTCCGTCGTAATATTTTGTGCGTCCTGTCCTGACCCTGGTGTCCTGCCCTGTCATGTGCCAACCTTAGCACTTCTTCTCGTAACTGTCCAGGCACCACCACCTGGTGTATTGTCCCATCTATTTGGTCATGAATTCTCCGCATGAGAACACCATCCTTTATACTGAGACGGTCCCACTGACTCAGTATTTTCTTTGTTTCTCGACCAAATTGTTCTCTTTCCCTTCTTCCTGGGAATTTTTGTTCCTGGACGTGTTTCAACAGCGGCTGTAAGCCACTATCCGTTCTCTGGGCATCTCTTATCTCTTTGTGATTAAGGCAATTAAAATCACTAATGTCCATATGTCCGGGCTCCGTGGATATGTGCTCCACCCCGGTCTGCCCGTTTTGCATCACTTGCACCCCGTGAGGGATATCTGTTGACGCTCTGACCTCACATATTCCTGTCAGCGTTTCTTCCTCATCGCCCGGTCTCTCGTACGGATTCCTTGATAAAGCGTCCGCATTGCCATTGGACCGCCCCGGGCGATATTTTATCTCCAGGTCAAAGAGTGCCAATTCTGCTGCCCATCGCTGTTCGATGGATCCCAACTTTGCTGTCTTTAGGTGACTCAAGGGGTTATTGTCAGTGTATACCACACATTTAGCACCTAATAGATAGTCCCTGAATTTTTCAGTCACAGCCCATTTTAATGTCAAAAGTTCTAGTTTCATGGCGCTGTAATTTGTCATGTTCTTCTCTGATTCCTTCAGAGCTCGACTGGCATACGCAATAACCCTGAAACCTTGCTTTTGTTGTTGTGATAGCACAGCTCCCAGACCTTTAGAGCTGGCGTCAATTTCTAGCCGAAATGGTTTGTCAAAGTCCGCGTATCCTAATATCGGCGTCTCTGTCAAAGCCTTTTTCAAGAGCTTAAACGAGTTCAGGCATTCATCAGTCCATAATTCACCTATCAGTTGTGTTTTACCTTTCTTTTTCTCCTTACTGTGTTTCTTTGTCATTTTGTTTACCAAGTCATGCAACGGTGCGGCAATTTTTGCAAAACCAGGTACAAATTTTCTATAATAGGAAGCAAAGCCCAAGAATGATCTGACCTCTACTGTAGTTGTTGGCTGTTTCCATTCTTTAACAGCTGCAATTTTATCTGGGTCAGTGGCGATGCCATCCGACGAAATCACATAACCCAAAAAATGTACCGATTTCAGACCGAAGCCGCATTTGTCTGGGTTCAGCTTTACTCCTATCTCCCTAAGACGGAGAAACACTTGTTCTAATCTTTTTAGATGGTCCTCCCAAGTTTTTGAGTAAACCAGTATATCATCCAAGTACACCAACATTATTTGAAATAGAAAGTCACTCATAGCACTCTGCATTACTCGCTGGAATGTAGCAGGCGCATTAGTTAGACCAAACGGCATACGGGTCCACTCGTACAGTCCCAGTGGAGAAATAAATGCAGTCTTATGTTGATCGTTGGGGTGCATGGCCACTTGGTGGTAGCCGCTAGCCAAATCCAAGGTAGAAAAAAATCTTGCTCCCCCCAACGCATCAAGACATTCATCAATACGAGGCAAGGGGAATGCATCCCTTCTTGTGATATTGTTCAATTTCCGGTAATCACAACACAGTCTTATCTCCCCCGACTTCTTTTTTACCACTACTATCGGTGCCGCATACCGGCTAGTGCTGGTTGTAATAATTCCCTTTTTTAGTAGATCGTTCAGGTGTGCTTTCACCGCCGAGTAGTGACTTGGTGGTAATCTTCGATAAGGTTGCGCCACCGGCTTGTCTTGTAGTAAGGGTATCTGGTGTTTTATTACTTCCGTGTAACCCAAATCACCCTCGTACGAGGCAAATATATCCCTGTACTTATTCAGCAATTCATTTAGTTTTGGGTCCTCAGTTTCCGGGAATGTATATGATCGGCCATCCTCTTTCTTCACCTCGGCCGTCACATTGACCGACCTAATTGTTACTTCATTACTGCTGGTATTGCTCAGTTCGATGCACTGTGCCGACCTTAGTACCTCGACGTTCTGTGGTACTCCTACCAGAGTATTAGGCGGTATAAAAATTTCCTCATCCAAAACATTTGCCACTAATCCTTGAACTAGTCCCTTCTCCGCTGATGTGTATGTCCGCAGTAACACGACGCCTGCCCTCAGTGCGGCGCCACATGGTTCTATCATCACATCACCATTCACGCTTCTATCACCAATTTGTAATGTGATTGCCTTGACCGTGTTTGCCGGGACTGATATCCTTCCTCTGGTCTTGGCAAACCTGGCCAACTTGGATCCCCGACCTGGTGTGGTCGATCCGACAATATTTGTAAGAAATTCTGGCAACTGGCCAAGAATATTCATGCCCAACAGGCAAGGTATATTTGACACATTTGTCTCTAGGTTGTGTTTCGTAACGAACACCCCAACCTGCTTCAACCTATGTCCCGCCACCACGACATCCGCCAGAAAATAACCACAGTATGGAATGGTTAGTCCATTAGCTGCCGTCAGGCGCATGCATGTGTCAGACCTCAACCTATGGTCTTTTCCTTTCATCCATTTGGTGTAAAAATTTTCCGTAATTGTCGTCACCTGGGAGCCTGTATCCACAATTGCCTTCACCGCGATGTCCCCAATCGTAATCACCATTTCGGGACAGACTCCCATCATTTTGTTTCTTGGGCCATAACCTCGCCCCTCTGTAGCCTGGCCCTGCCTTATAGAGGACGACCGTTTCCCTGACAGTACCGTGCCATATGTCCGGGTTGTGAACAGGACAAGCAAATTGGTCGACCGTCAGCCGTCCACCGGAGCGATGGACCGGCGGGTCGCGGCCGTCCAACCTGTCTCTGTTTTGTCCCGTTCTTTTCCTGATTCTCAGCTGTTGACCTGCTTTCTAACCTCTCCAATCGTTGGTCAACCTTATCCAGGTGGGCCAACAGTTGAGCCATCATGGTTTCTACCGTGCCGGTCCCTGTGGGTGGGAATTGTTTCTGTTCCGGCACAGAGACTTTGTCCACCGAACAGTTCGATTGGTCCTCCTCCTCGGACCTGCGGATCGCTAAGTTCCTGACCTGAAGGAAGGTCAACTGCGGGTCTTTGTGGACCTCCTCTTTCAACTCTCTCCTTAAGATCGGGGTTGCTAGCCCCTCGATGAAATGGTCCCTCAGTAGGCGTACATCAATGTCAGGTGTTTTGCCCTTTACCGAATCAAAGGCCCTGTTCATTCGGTGTGAATACTCCATCACACTCTCCGCCATTCTCTGCTTTAAGCCTACGAACCCCGATAGCAGTTGCGATCCCGACCGTCTCTCCCCAAAGGTCTCCATAATTAGATCCAGCACCTTATCTGGATCTGATTGGATGGTTTTATCGTGGCATTTGACCTCTGCCCTAACCGTCTCTCCTATACTGCCCATCAGCAGTCTTAATCTTTCCTCTGGTGACATGTGTCTCGAGGCCCAGGCCGCTTTGACCTCTTCACTGAACCTGTTGGTTAAAGCTGGATCACCGTCCCCGTAAAATTTGTTAATGTGGGACTCTCTGGGCAGGACCACAATATGGGTCTGCTTCTCGTCCAGAGTAGACATTTTATTCCTTGAGTAAAAAAAAAAGAGTTCTTTCTTACCGTGTGTGTATGAAAAATTTTCCTCGTTCCTCAATTTTCACTGTTCCTGAATGTCCGAATTCACACACACACGAAACACAGTTATGAACAAGGTTGACTATGGGTGCCTCAAGCGGCAAGTCTTGTTGAATTCACCCTGCTCGCAGCGCCAAATGTAACGAGACTATTTGCCTGTAGTGCCAAATGTTAACGAGTTCTGCTCGACAACGCCAAATGTTACCGAGTCTAACCACTCATTCTACACAACATCGACCACAGTATAGATACTCGAAGATGCAGGTTCGCTATTGATCCTTTTATTACATGAATCAAAGAAATGCTTCACAATAATATAATGAATCAAAAGGAATGCTTCACAATAATAGTCTGAATCAACTGACCCCCAACAGTCCTCACTAGTCTTCACATAACTGAATGCACATGTCTATCGTCCTTCTTAACACAATACGGCTAACCCGTTCAATAACCAACTTGATACTGCCTCACTGACTGACTGATCGAGAGAGAGAGAGAGCGAGCTCAGCCGTCGCCTTCCTATATATCCCCTTCGTATTCGTAATCGTATTCGGTTCTATCATAATCGTAATCGTAATCGATTCTAATCGTTGCATCAGAATGTTAATTACGCCGCTTCTGTCGTACAGTCCGATTTAATAAGCCATCTGCATCCTGTCACATCAAAGTTGACAGACCGTATTGCGTTCTTATCGTATCGATTCCCAAGATACTACGCCTTGGCTTTCTGATCGTTATCAGCCAACACCTGCGTTATTACATCAGTCGTGTCAAAGTTGACAGCGCTGTACTGCGTTCTTATTCTCTGGTAACTTCCCCTAGTTACATATATATATATATATTTATATATATATATATATATATTTATATATAGCTCAATTCTGTATGTAAAAATAAGTTTGTTTGTCGTTGGCATACTTCGATGGATTTAAGTGTTAGACTATTATCGTGCTCATAGTCTAAATTTATGAGTTAAAAAATTACTATTTAAAGTGCTGGGAAATAATTTTCATTTTTCAAACTGATAGTAATAATTGTCGACATGTTCATTAAACATAATTTTTAAAAAATAACAAAAATTCTAATTATGTCTGAAAATTATTTATATTTAGTCCTTTAGCACTTACTTCCCTTTGATAAATTAGGAAAACACAATTACTTCCCTTTATAAAACATTGCATTAATGGAAAAGAATTTACTTTTTATTACTTTGTTTTGGTGTTGGGAAAAAAAATAATTACATAATTAGCGGGGATTGATCAAGTGCAAATGTTGTAGGTATTTTACGAATAAGCTTGGAGTATTATAATTGTTCATTTGGTTTGGTTTGGCACCTACGTTCGTTTAAGTGAGTGCAAAAGACTATGAATAAGTTGGAGTACTGTAGTCGATTATTAAGCTGAAACAGGCGATTCTGCCCCGGGCTAGACTGTGAGCACTTTGCGTTTATGTTCGCGTTAGTGTTTTCTTTGTGTTTAGGTTGGGTTTGCGTTAGTGGTTGCGTTTTGATTTGGTTCGTTTTTGTTCTTTCTTTTTTCGTTTTCGTTTGTGTTTTTTTCTTTGGGTTTGTGTTTGTATTTGTGTTTGTGGTTGGTTTTGCGTTTGGGTTTGGTTTGTTTTCGTTTGCTTTTTTGTTTGTGTTTTTTTCTTTGGGTTTGTGTTTGTGGTTGGTTTTGCGTTTGGATTTGGTTTGTTTTCGTTTGCTTTTTCGTTTTTTTTTCTTTGTGTTCGTATTGGTGTTTGTGGTTGTGGTTGGGTTTGTTGTTAGGTTTTTGTTTTCGTTTGCTTTTTTGTTTGTTTTTTCTTTGTGTTTGTATTGGTGTTTGTGATTGTGGTTGGGTTTGTTGTTAGGTTTTTGTTTTCGTTTGTATTTGTAATTGTGTTAGCGTTATGTTTGCGTTTTGTTGTTTTGGTTGGTTGTGGTTTGGGTGGGCAATGCCGGGTTTATGATGATTACTAAACACACAGGTAATGGTCTTTAACAGAAAGGTTTTTCACAGAAGCCAGAGCAGGGCCTGGCCGGGACGGCTAGTGTTTATATATAAATCACCGAATCTGCAATAATATAGTTTTTTAAAAACAATTAGATGTGTAGGGTAAAATGTTAGTATTAGTATGAACATATAAATCAGATACATTAAATATGACAATATGTGCAATTTTGTTTTGCGTTCACTTGGTGTGCAATTCTTTTTTTCTACGAGATTCTGTTCTATTTTAAAAAGTTTAAGTAATTAAAAATGGATTAAAAATCATGTCTATATCCCGAGTTGCCATCCCCTGTTGTTTTATATAAGAATATTTGAGAAAGTTTAGGGTAGATCGTTCCAGGTTTATTATTTTTTTTGTTTTGTTAATCTTTTGGAATACTAAACAACTGATCCGGCCAGGTAATGCCCTGGCTAAATATAAATCATGTATAATGTGTAAAAATAATGCTAATTCAATATTAATGGAAGTATTGAGGAAGTCTTTCAAGTAAGTAGATTTAAAAAGTATTTTTACTGTAATATTCACCTTAACTCAAAGAGTAAGTCATTTAATTTCTTGATTATTAATTTTAAAGAAAAAAAATTGCGTGTATAAACTTCCAACATTTTTTTATGCTGACCAAATAAAAAGGAAACCATAAGTAACTAATGACCCAGCTCGACTTTTTTTTTAAAACAAAGCACAATCAACACAAAGGTAATTGGGTTAAACCGAAATAGCCATAAAATTAGTAATCGGCAAATAGACAACCTTATTATCACGGAAACTTCAACACCCTAATATGTATATTACCAAAAGATACATTATCTTCTCCTAAAGACTTACCCGGCTCGACAACCTCTAGGACGAAAAGTTCATCCGGGTTGGCGTAGGAGATAAAAACGTCATAGTCAAATTGGTTGCCTTTTGTCTCGTGTCGTCTATGGAAGTTCAGCATCGCCGCGTGGTACAGGTACCGCAGGCTCCACCGGAAGCGGAAGATCATGAGACCGACGATAGCAAACAGCACGAGCAGCGTGGCGGCAACAACAAACAGGAAGAGCTTCTCGTTGGATGCGCATTCTTTGTTCAGCAGCTCCACGGTTTTGTTGTAGCCGTTGGTCAAGCGTACGTACACGTCGTCGTGAGCACAGATATAGTTCTTGAACGACTTAAATGCTGGAGACTTGACCATCCAGGTTAGGAATTTCAAGTTTTGACACGTGCAAAGAATAGGGCAGTTGTTCAGCTCCACCTCAACAGGTATCTGGTGGTCAATCAGCCAATCAATGCTTTCCATCACGTCATCAGGAAGTGACGAGATCGAATTGTGACTCAGATTTAACAGTCTCAAGTTTTTCATCCCACTGATTTTTACATTAAATTCCGAAAGACGATTGTTTGACAGATCTAGAATAGTAAGATTGTTGAGACCGATAAATAAACCATAACTTAAATTTTGAATGTTGTTAATAGAAAGATCTAACTTTTTCAGATTTGTCAAATTAGCGAAAACAGGATCGTCAAGAGTGTTTAAAAAATCCCCAAGTAGGTTTGTGCCGAGGTTAAGATTCTCCAAAAGCGGGAAATTGGAGAAAAACGTCCACTCCAGGGAACTAACATAGCTCGAATAGATACTGAGGGTGGTCAAATGATTGAAGCCGATGAACGGACCTTGCAGCTCAGGCAAAAAGTTTCTGTCCAACACAAGGTCTGTCAGGGAGTTGTTGCTGTCTATCGTCAGCCGTGACAGACGGTACTGCAACTCAGCGTTAACCATTTCTATCCGGGACAGTTGTGGTGGGAGGTGGAATACTAGAGCGTTGTCATCCCCAACGCTTCTCCTCTTGCGGTGGGAATGAAAATGTTCGATGAATTCTTTCTTGTATGATGTGGGGATGTTGTAGAGGAAATCTTCACCGTTGATCAGTAAAGTCTGGAGTTTGGTCAGTTTTGGGAGAAATTCAAGGAAAACCCCGAACACGATTCGGTTTTTTCCGATGTCCAGAAGAGTTAAGTTTGGGGGGAGATGGTCGAACGTGTCGTTGTCTATCTTCTCAATGCTGTTCCCCGCGACCTTGAGAGTGGTCAAGGACTTGGGGAGGTTGGTCACGTGACTGGCATTGACTTGAGTTCCGGTGGAGTAGCGCCACTCGATGGTGCTAACGTCCAGCCACCACAGGTTCGTGTTGTTCCTCAGCCCGTGCATGATATGCTGCAGGTGTTTGATTCCAATGTCCTCGTTGTAGTGGATGTCCAGCATCTCCAGGCTCACCAAAGGCGTGAAGGCATCCTTGTCAATGTGCTTTCCGTGTAGGTGGCAGTTGCTGAGGTTGAGGACCTTGATGTGTCCCAGGTACTGGAATGTCGTGTTGCTTAAACAAATTATATTACAGTATCCATCCAGATAGCCAGTTACGGTCAGGTTGACCAATGACGTCATCCTACTGAATCCCACTCCGAACGACGCATTCGTTAGCCCGTCCATATAAAGCGCCTTCAAGTTTTTCAAGTCAGATAGCGCTAAATCTGGGTAACTAAAATTGTTCCCTCCTACCGCCGAGTTAAAGTTTTTATTCAACCTCAAGGCCGTGAGGGACACCAAAGGCTTGAAGACACCCACGGGAAACGTGTCAGGGGTCATCGCTAGGGAATTATCGTCCAGTCGGAGAAACGTCAAGTTTTCCAGACCCGAAAACGAGCTTTCATTCAGCTTTGAAATGTTGTTTGAATTCAAATGCAATATTCTAAGTCGTGAGTACTTATTTAACGAATGCGGAGGTATTTCAGTTAAAGCGTTGTTGTACATGTCAAGTTTTGTTATGTTAGGCGGTAGGTTTTGAGGGACGGATGTTAGTCGAAGGCCGCTGCAATCACAGCAATTTGTTTCGTTGTAGCACCTACATCCCGAATATATGCTGTAAGTTGAATTCCTTCTGGGATTGCATGATTGTGTTTTTGACAACTCGAGAAGAGATTCTCTTTTGTTGCTGTTATTGAGGTCAGAGGTCACTTGGTTATTGACACCTAAGTCCATTGTTAGTTTGTTACTGGGTGAGGAATTACTTTTCATTTTTGTCAGGACGGCGTCTTTTTTCTTAAATGATACAACGTTATTAAATGGGATTGCCATACGATGTACATTGTTATTTTTTGTATTGGTTGACTTGTCATTTAACCAGGAATTTTTAGAATCAGACTTTCCGTTAACAGTAACTGAAGACGTCATGTCCGGTGGACGTAAAGTGTATGCTCCCGCTTCATTGGTCAAAAAAACCAAGAGCAAACACGAGATAGTGAATTTTGTTATCATGACTGTGATTGGTCTAATAACTGGGAGCTGGAAGTTTTAGTGAAAACAATTGTACGGTTTTGTTTAAATTATGTGTAAAATTATGGAGTGAGTGAGACAAATTTTAGACAGTACTATAATTATTAGCTGATGTTAGAATGAGCGTCTGACATATATGGTGTCGTACAGAGTCAGTCTTTATTTACCTAGCTCGGACAAAGCGACTTTTTATACTTAGGTCAGAAAGTAGCACACGTTTTAGGCATTCACGAAACACAATTCCTTTGCTGTTATTGTTGTTGAACCGTTGGTTGAAAAAATGATGCTCCATTGACTACATTTGCTTTCAAGTTATGAAATAACCTCCATCTTGCGTTGATGTAAAACTACGTTGAAGTAAGTGCTACCTAATCCAGTTCAGCATAAGTTTACAAGCCAAGGGAACCCGCACGCAGACCACACAAACAAAATTTTAAAAACTTCTGACATGGTATGCTCGTGTCTATTAGCCATACACGGATTTTCTTATATAAGAGCCTCGGTTTTTTTTTGTATAAGAGCCAAGTTGAAGATAAGGAAAGGCCTGGGGTTAAAGTATCGTCATTGAAATCTATGATTTGGCTTGTTGCTAATCCGCAAGCACGACACACTTCCGCCTTCATAAAAATAATGTTAAACCTTCTAGAACAGAGACAGCTTATAGACTAGTACATAGGGAGGGGTGTAATTCCATGCCCTTAGCAATACAATATGTTACTAACTGTATACCTAGCAGATCCCCTACACACCCCACACCCTCAACCACACACAGAGGCAATGTCACGCCAATGACCTACCGATAAAGCCCACTATGAAACAATGATATGACGTTTCCAATAGGGCTAATATGTATGTCACCATCTTCTCGTGTTTGTACTTGCCAGCTAGTATTTTCCAAACCAAATGTGAATATTTTTATTGAACGGCAAAAAAAGATTACTTCCGCTATTGTTAATTCAAGACAAATATATGCTATGTAAAATTGTAATTTTTTTTTAAAGCGTACATTTAGTTATTTTTTGTTCAAATCAGTTGTTAGGACAAATCAATTTGTCCTAAGCGAAGTTACGATAAACTTGGTCTACCGGTATTTAATTTGATTATATTATTAGTAAACATTTTTATAACTGTTGCATTTTGGGTACTCTTGTTTATTTAAAATATCGAAGCGAGGCTTCGTTGTTTCTTATTAACTGAATACATATTTATTATTTTCTACATGTTCCTTTTATTATAATAATCTTTGATATAAATATGTCAGTGTGATATACTACACAGTGTAACAAAAAGCATCCTCCCGCACTATAAAGGTGTGGGTTTTTTTTTAACTTACCTGAATAATGGTGAGATTCTTTTGCTCTGGCAGATGGTGTCTCCTAACTCTCACATTTTTGAGGAAAGTGTCTCCAGTTTAACAAATTCTCATATTCTTACGAGTTTGTCTTCAGATTTACATACTCACCGAAGTTAGCGTACAAGTTCTTGACCTTCAGCTGTGTCAAAATTTGTCGTTTCTTCAAATACTGAGTTAGTTTGGAATTTAAGATTCAGATACAAACCCGAATAGAGCTATGGTTTACATATCTGCAGGCCATATTTCATAATAGAAGGGTCAAAATGTGATAAAAGAAAATTAGCAGAATAGGCCCCGTTGCAACTTTTCCTCAACGGGTGCAAACAACTAGTTATTAAGTAGTTTAAATACCATTACGGTTGATAAGTTAAACTATAATAGTGATGATGCGGGGAAATTATTTTTAATGTTATAGCTTACAATTCTAATATGTCTACCTCATGTGGCCGATCTAAGTAGCATGGGTTAAATAACACAGGAAGCCATTTTGTGAGTCATTTGTCAATCTCCTCCCACAATACAAAAATAAAACATGTATCCATTGATATAACGAAAATTGATGTTGCAAACAAATGGGGTAGTGATAGCTCCAGGAACAAGTTACGATTACCTTTTTTTCCGATAAATCGTTCTTTTGTTTTTGTTTATGAAAAAGATTTGTAGAAAGCATACCGTTTGACTCTCACGGAAAAACTGCACGTTTAGAGAAAAGCATCAAAGAGTGGATCTTAGGAAGATGTGTACCGACTGATTCTAAATATATATTTAAAAAATCATATCTCTCATTGATGGAAGATATATAGAAATGTTTTTAAGAAGCAATAAAACTTATGGGCTCTCGTTCTTTTTTAAATTAAAAAATAAAATGATTTATAACCAACAATAATAAAAATAATAATTTGCAACCAATTTGTAAGAAAAAAATACATATACAGTTACAGCATTTATTACAATATGTTTTCTTAAGGGAAAAAAGAATTTTCTATATTGAAAAATTCTTTTCCTGATTAATACAAGACACCATGCCGTAATAAGAAATCACACAACGGTCAAGAGGCTGTCAAAAGGTTGTCAAAGCTTAAAAAAAACCTTGTTTTCCTTTGTAACATCGATTTTGATTTAAACTCCAAACAGTTTAATTGTTTTTGTTATCACTGGTTTAATGGGCATCGTATGTGGTAAAACGATACGCCTGATTAGTAATCCAATATTTTTCTTTGAAGGACCCGTTTATACGGTTGATGAAGCAATATGCCCGAGGCTATAAATGATATCCAGTTACATTGTTGTGTGAACCTTGCAAGGATGGCTGTCGGCACACGAAAATAATGACTGCTAGAGCTCAAGGGTATTTGCCATTCAAGTACTGTGGTGTAGAGGATCCTGGAAGGCCAGCAATAGGACATCATGAATGTCCTCCAAACTATGAGCCAGCGTATTAGCTCCATGAGACGATCTAGACCTAAATGTCCTCTATGAGACGATCTAGACCTGAATGTCCTTCAGCCAGCGTATTAGCTCCATGAGACGATCTAGACCTAAATGTCCTCAATGAGACGATCTAGACCTGAATGTCCTTCAGCCAGCGTATTAGCTCCATGAGACGATCTAGACCTAAATGTCCTCTATGAGACGATCTAGACCTGAATGTCCTTCAGCCAGCGTATTAGCTCCATGAGACGATCTAGACCTAAATGTTCTCCATGAGACGATCTAGACCTGAATGTCATCGCTGAGGTCCTACAGCTAGCGCAGGTCCTGCGCCAATTTGTCCCACATGGCCTTCATCTCCCGCTCCGAGAGTTGCTCCCCCTGTGGGTAGGGGACGTAAGTGTTGCAGCGGAGGAAGGACATGAGCTCGCCTAGGTTCTTGGCCGCCATGTTCTCTTTGACCAGGAATATCAGCACCGGACGTCCGTCGTGGACCGACTCCATGTTAGCCATCTGAAATAGAAAGGTCAAGGTCATACTACGGTCTAGGCAACCACTACGGTCAAGGCAATGCCGCCATATATAGGCTTACTTAAATGTTTAAATGATTACTAAAGGAAAATGATTCATTAATTCTATTGACCAATCGTACTAAGGTACAGAAATTGAGCCTTTTCGCGATCTGTTATCAACTAATGATGTGGGCTAGGTGGTTAAATTGTTACTAGATAAAACAAAACACGCGGTTAAACTTTTTTGTTAAACTTTTATTTCTTTTTCGTTTATAATTTTAAAATTATCGGCCTACACATTTTTTAGTGAAAAATACACTGTTTATTGTGATTGCAATACTAAAAAAACTGGGTTAGTACGCCTTAAACTAAGATAAAAGAATAAACCAATTTACACGTAGTTAACAATTCTATCTTTTTGAAGGAAAAAAACAACTTTCGTAAGTTTTACTACGCCGTCCCATTAACCTAGTGTAACACAAAAGTGAAACTTTGCACACGTTTTGAGCATTACACTACTTTTCAAGTTTTGTGTTTTCATTTTACTGCAATACTTAGAAAATATTAAAGTTTATGTAAAACCGTCTACTTATTTTTTGTTGTTGTATATTTTCTTATTTAAAAATACATTTAAAAAGTTAAAAAATAAACAGCAAAGTGAATATCTTAAATGAGATTTTGTTTTGAATATTGAGCGAGCAAAGATGGAGAGTTTTGAAAATGTGTTCAATTTAAACATTTCATGGCTTTCGGGGCAGCTAGAACTACAAAATATGATTTTATACATTTTTTTGTTTAGAGAACAAATACCGTGAACAAATAAATCTGTTACATTATCATTAACATGCATAATAAAGAAAAACATTTTTCATGTGGTGTCACCCCTTAGAGCTGAACAATGTGCCAGTCTTGTCTTAAATCAGACACAGATTTCAGTGGTTTTTAAATCAACGCCTAAATTAAATATAACAGTTCATTTTATTTTTTAAAATAACGCATTTTGTTAATAATAGATT